TATGTATGTATGTATGTATGTATGTATGTATGTATGTATGTATGTATGTATGTATGTATGTATGTATGTATGTATGTATGATAGATATATAGATATATAGATAGATAGAGAGATAGATAGATATATATATATATATAGATATATAGATAGATGGATAGATAGATAGATAGATAGATAGAGAGATAGAAGGATATAGATAGATAGATAGATAGATAGATAGATAGATAGATAAATAAACAAATAGATGGATAGATAGATAGACAGAAAGAAGCATCGATCAAAAAATAGATAGATCGATAGCTAAATAGATCGATAAAAAGATATAAAAAGATAGATAGATAGATAGATAGATAGATAGATCGATAGGTAGATAGATAGATACATAGAAGGATAGATAGATAAATAGATACATAGATAGACAACTAAATAGATAGATACATGGATAGATAGATGGATAAGGAGGTACGTACATAGTCAGAGAAAAAGAAACAAAGACATGCGGACCAGGGGGGAATCGAATGGGGGGGGGGGCCCCCGTACGTTCGACACTTGGTGGCCATATCGCAAGCCAAGAGGCTATGGATCAATACTAATCAAAAGGCAGCGAAGCAAACCATAGGCGCAAAATGGACGCAACTGATTCCGCCTGCTTCGGGCCGTAATAGGCTTTCCAGAAAGACATGCCGATGAAGCCGCTGGAACCCCGGCGCCGATCAGGCCAATTGAGCCGATGAGGCCGATGGAGCCGCTGAGGCCGATGGAGCCGATGAGGCCGATGAGGCCGATGGAGCCGATGAGGCCGCTTGAGCCGATGAGGCCGATGGAGCCGCTGGAGCCGATGGGGCCGATGAGGCCGATGAGGCCGGTGAGGCCGATGAGGCCGATGAGGCCGATGAAGCCGATGGAGCCGCTGGAGCCGATGAGGCCGATGGAGCCGCTGGGGCCGATGGAGCCGATGAGGCCGATGAGGCCGATGAGGCCGATGAGGCCGATGGAGCCGATGAGGCCGATGAGGCCGATGGAGCCGATGAGGCCGCTCGAGCCGATGGATGGCCGATGGAGCCGATGAGGCCGATGGAGCCGATGAGGCCGATGAGGCCGATGAGGCCGATGAGGCCGATGGAGCCGCTGGAGCCGATGAGGCCGACAGAGCCGCTGGAGCCGATGAGGCCGATGGAGCTGCTGGAGCCGATGAGGCCGATGGAGCCGATGAGGCCGGTGAGGCCGATGAGGCCGATGGAGCCGATGAGGCCGATGGAGCCGATGGAGCCGATGGGCCGATGAGGCCGCTCGAGCCGATGGATGGAGCCGATGAGGCCGATGGAGCCGCTGGAGCCGTTGAGGCCGATGGAGCATGGAGCCGCTGGAGCCGTTGAGGCCGATGGAGCCGATGAGGCCGATGGAGCCGCTGGAGCCAATGAGGCCGATCGAGCCGCTGGAGCCGATGAGGCCGATGGAGCCGAGCCGATGAGGCCGATGGAGCCGCTGGAGCCGATGAGGCCGATGGAGCCGATGGAGCCGATGAGGCCGATGGACAGGCCGCTGCATGGTCAGGCCGATGGACCAGGTGCGCCACAATGCAAAGCACCCATGCTCTGAAAGTGGCGCTTTGCGCCGGAGATAGGCCTATGCAGTATTGCCAGTATAAAGAGAGTTGCAGGTTACAGCTACATGTATCGAGACACCTTAACCCATTCCACCCTGCCTACATGCACAAGAAGTGGTGCCGCAAAATCGACGCCAACCGTCAATGGCTTGTGCATGTATAAGCAGGGTGGAATGGGTTAAGGTGTCTCGATACATGTAGCTGTAACCTGCAACTCCCTTTATATTGGCAATACTGCGTAGGATTTATCTCCGGCCAGCGGCCTCATCGGCCTCATCGGCTCCATCGGCCTCATCGGCCTCATCGGCCGCATCGGCGCCAGCGGCTCCAGCAGCCTCATCAGCTCCAGCGGCTCCATCGGCCTCATCGGCCTCATCGGCCTCATCGGCCTCATCGGCCTCATCGGCTCCATCGGCCTCATCGGCTCCATCGGCCTCATCGGCCTCATCAGCCTCATCGGCCTCATCGGCTCCAGCGGCTCCAGCGGCTCCATCGGCTCCAGCGGCTCCATCGGCTTCATCGGCCTCATCGGCCTCATCAGCCTCATCGGCTCCATCGGCCTCATCGGCCTCATCGGCTCATCGGCCTCATCGGCCTCATCGGCTCCAGCGGCCTCATCGGCCTCCATCGGCCCATCCATCGGCCTCATCGGCCTCATCGGCTCCATCGGCCTCATCGGCCTCATCGGCGTCATCGGCTCCTTTGGCTCCATCGGCCTCATCGGCTCCAGCGGGTCCAGCGGCTCTATCGGCTCCAGCGGCTCCATCGGCTTCATCGGCCTCATCGGACTCATCGGGTGCATGGGCCTCATCGGCTTCATCGGCCTCATCGGCCTCATCGTTCTCATCGGCTCCAGCGGGTCCAGCGGCTCCATCGGCTCCAGCGGCTCCATCGGCTTCATCGGCCTCATCGGCCTCATCGGCCTCATCGGCCTCATCGGCTCCAGCGGCTCCAGCGGCTCCATCGGCTCCATCGGCTCCAGCAGTTCCATCGGCCTCATCGGCCTCATCGGCCTCATCGGCTCCAACGGCTCCAACGGCTCCATCGGCATGTCTTTCTGGAAAGCCTATTATATGCCCTGAAGCAGGCGGAATCAGTTGCGTCCATTTTGCGCCTATGGTTCGCTTCGCTGCCTTTTGATTAGTATTGATCCATAGCCTCTTGGCTTGCGATATAGCCTCCAAGTGTCGAACGTACGGGCCCCCCCCTAAGTCTCCGTTCGTGACTCTCGGGTCTCAATTTCCGGGAAAGGAGCAGCCACCTCCCCCAGTACTAAACTATAGTACTAAAGTACATAGAACTCAGGTAGCCTAGGCTACCTTTCGTGATTAAGTGTACGCTGTTCCCTGATGTTCCCTGTCTGTTGGTGCTGGCGTCGGCACTCTCTCTCATATAGTCCGGGGGTCCTTGACAGCAAACTCGAACTTGCCAAATCCACGGGTAATTAGCAGGATGGCCTGGCCCAAGGTCTCTGGATGGTCTCTGGCTCATTCTGGCTCATTCTGGCTCATTCTGGCTCTTTCTGGCTCCCAGCTCCGATTCATCCCAGCACAGCGACTCAATTTGGGATACCCATTAGAACTGGAAGTCTGCAACAGAACTCAAACCGTCCAGCCCAAGAAATCCAAGAAATCCACGAAAGTATACAAGCGTTTCTTCAAGGCTCTTGCCCACGATGCTGCAGGTGTCTCCCGCCACACCTCAGCCTCCCCTCCGAGGAAGTCGTATCCTCCAACACGTGAGTTGGTTTGTGGTGGCGGCCACGTGACCTCCAAAGGGACTGTGATGGACTGGTGGAGATAGCGAAAAAATATGAAAAAAATGCAAAGTCTAGACATCTCGTGGCAGAAACTGCAGCCCTTGGTGACCTTGACAACTTGAGCTGCAAAAACGAGATGATCGAGATGACATGAGATGACTAACTGCTTAAGAATAAAGAATCATATAATCAATAATGCACATCATGAGATGCCAAAAATTGCCAAACATCACTCGACGGAGTCTCTGTTTCTTCGTGCGCTTTGCCCAACTGCAGCCAGCGCATAGCTCCGTCATGTTCCGTCACCTCCAAGTCAAACATCACCACGGCAACTTCAACTCCAGCCTGTCGTGAAGCACGTTTCTGTGACATCCGCACTCTGGACAGCTTTTGGAATCAACATGCATAGAATGTATCCAACAGATCACAATCAGCATGACCATGCCCATCGCTGTCGCCATTGTCGCCATCATTAAAAATTATAGTATTTGTCTTCGTTTTCCTGTTTCTTCTTGCTTCTTGTTTCTTGCTTCTTGCTTCTTGCGTCTTCCTTCTTGCTTCTTGCTTCTTGCTTCTTGCTTCTTCTTCTTCTCCTTCTTCTTCTTCTTCCTCTTCTTCTTCTTCTTCGGCGGATACTACTGTATTATTCTTAGTTCCTCCTCCTGCTCTTTTCCGCTTCCTGTTCCTTTTGTTCTTCTTTCTAGACTTATGATGTCTGATGCTCTTGTCGGTTCTTGTCTTTTTTGAAGGTATGATAATTGTATGTCTCTTCTTCTTCTTCTTGGTCTTCATTATTGTCCGCAGCAGCAGCAACAGCAGCAGCAGCATCTTCTTCTGCATCTTCAACTTCTTTCTCTTCTTCATCATCGTTATGGAAGGCAAGCATGGAACGGGTCTCACGAAGGTCAAGTCAGACTCAGACCCCTTGTTTCCAAGCCAACTGTCCTGCTGTAGCTGGTATCCCATCTTGTGTGCGAGGACGCAGCCGAAGGAATATCCTCACATGGCAAATCTATGCAAATCTGAGGAAGTCTTGAATGCGCAGTCCAAACTGGAAATGGAAAGTCCCACAAGTGTAGATCATTTTCACACACGGGGCTTCGGATTGCTGCTCCATGTCACAATCCCATGGAGGTCCTGCTACCACTATCAAGTTTTTTGCCTCGGTAGCTGCTTCCAAGGCAGAGCCAATTTATGTTGAATTCCGCATCGGATAGGAAAGGACTCTATTTCCGTGGTATGTGTTGAAGTTCTGAAGAAGCTGGTTTTTCTGGCTTCTCTTTGTTTAGCAAGGAGACTGGCAAATGGCGGCAGAATCCGGCAAATGTATATTATCTTTAGTCAAAACCTATATGTAATTGTATGTAATTAATTCTAGAATAATTAATCTATATTAATCTGATCTCCTCAATAAATTTTGCACGACCTGCTGTCTACACTGTGGCTGCGGCTGCACCATTTTTGAAGCTCTCGGAGTCAGCCAAGACCTCACAAATGTTGATGTCAACACGCACAAGAAATGAATGTGAAACACATGCAACGCAGAAAGATGCGACTTGGTGAAAGTTCATTGATGTTCATTTGAACAAGAAGAAATAGAAGAAAAAAAACTGTGTTGTGAGATAGTTACAAGATGTTACAAGCACACCACACCTGTTCCATTTTCCAAGATGCAACTAAACCCTGAATATACCCTGAATTCTCTGACATCTTGACACCCGGAAACTCCTCTCTCCTCTCTCCACTCCCTTCATCATCTTCATCCAAGCAAACCCCTTACTGGACCCAGATCCGGGCTGCCGTACGCGAGAGTTGTACAAGCTGCACAGTGCGGGGACCGAATTGCAGGCCAATGCCTCCAGCCAGAGGCCATCGGGGCCGAAGCAGGTGTCGTCACTTTGGTCCAACGTGTCCAACGTGTCCAACGTGTGGACCCAACGTGCCTCGGAGTCGTAGACCAAGGCACCCACCCTGGTGCAGCACAACATAAAAGCAGCCCAGTGGTGCTAGGGGTACACTTCAATTTACGACCAGATCGTGCTAGTTTCACCATGGACCTAATTCTGAAGCACTGCCTCCGAGACCATTTAGCACTGAGCGGCTGCTTCTTGCATCTCTTCGTTTGCTGCGTGCTGTCAAGATCTGTTGCGGGTTTGGGAGCCGATCCAGATCGCCAGATCGCCTGCAAGGCTCCAAATGAGCTGCGATGGTCTTGAACGTGGCACCGCCGCTCATCACATCACCATCCAAACCTTGAAGAATGGCTGAGACATGCTGACAACCGTCAAGTAAGAAAATCCGTCGACAAAAATAGAAGTTGAGCAAATGATAGCGCATGATGCCTATTCTAATATGATCACTGATCGCTGTTTCATTTCACAGAGTTTTGCATCGCAACTTTTTGTTGCTGCTTGTGGCGAGATGTTACTCTTAACTAAGGGCACCACCGTGAACAAGGTAAATTTGTGGGATCCCTGGACTACCACGCCTGAAAGCAATGCGGATATGTACGGACCCTGGGGTGTTTGATGGTTACTGCTTCAGGCTTAGCCAGAGATGTTCTGCAAACAAAGCTATTCAGCAGAAAGGATTCAATATGGTGAGAGAAAGAAAAACAACATGATTACATTTGGTCACCTGAGTTCCTTTGCGATTCCCGAAAAGGCACAAGTTCCTGGGAACCTTTGCCGCGCCTAATTTTCTTAAGTTACATTTGTACAAAGATGCACGACAAAGTGTTTGGCCTATAATACATACCTATTGTAATTTTATACTCATGCACAGGGCAATTGGTTCGACTGATGAAAAAGATTGTGAGAGTTTGTCCGAGTTGATTTGATGCAAATACATTCTTCAAAATGGGCAAGCAGTTGCATTCAAAGTGCTGCTGGCATAGGATCCTCATATCACTGAGGAAAGTTGACATCTCATGACCAATACTGAGCAACCTGCCTCAGGATAAGTAGTTTGTCATCGCTCACGGCTTTCTTTGCAGCCTCTACATCACGGAATACCACAGAATGTACACATACCGGGTAAGCGGTAAGCACATGCTGGCACGCGGCCAATCAACATCACAAACAATAAAATAAACGATTTTTTAAGTATATGTATATAGGGCACAGGCCTGCAACCCCACACCCCCCGTCATGGTCATGGTTCCCCGCCCCCCCTGTGGGAATGGGGGGGTCTCTCCCCTCCCCCCTGTGGGAATGGGGGAGGGTCTCCTGTATGTATGTACGTACGTATGCATGCATGTAATGTAATGTAATGTAATGTAATGTACTGTAATGCTATGTTATGCTATGTTATGTTATGTTATGCATGTTATGTATGTTATGTATGTAATGTACGTAATGTATGTAATGTATGTAATGTATGCAATGAAGGTACTGAATGCAATGAATGTAATGTATGTAATGCATGTAATGCATGTAATGCATGTAATGCATGTAATGCATGTAATGCATGTAATGGATGTAATGGATGTAATGGATGAAATGGATGTCATGGATGTCATGTATGTCATGTATGTCATGTATGTCATGTATGTAGGGAATGTATGGTATGTATGGCATGTATGTATGGTATGTATGGTATGTATGTATGGTATGTATGTATGCATGATATGTATGGTATGCATGGTATGTATGGTATGTATGTATTTATGGTATGTATGGTATGTATGGTATGTATGGTATGGTATGGTATGGTCTGGTCTGGTCTGGTCTGGTATGTATGTAAGTATGTATGTATGCATGCATGCATGCATGCATGGATGTGTGTATGTATGTATGTATGTATGTATGTATGTATGTATCTATGTATGTATGTATGTATGTATGTATGTATGTATGTATGTATGTATGTATGTATGAGTGTAAGTATGTATGAGTGTAAGTATGTATGTAGGTACGGTATGTAGGTCTGTAGGTATGTAGGTTTGTAGGTATGTAGGTTTGTAGGTATGTAGAATATGTAGTTATGTAGGTATGTAAATATGCAAGTAGGTAGGTAGGTAGGGATGTAAGTATATGGGTAGGCATGTATGTATATTATGGGTAGGTATGTATGTACGTATGTATGTAGGTATGTAGGTATGTAGGTATGTAGGTACGTAGGCACGTAGGTATGT